TTATTTTATTTTGTGTTCTGTCTGACGACAGGTCCATATGAACAGGCTCCTTCCATCCTTTTCTCGGACTGGGACTTGTTCATATACGTTCTTGGCAGATGATCCATAAGTGGTTTGCCATTGCCTTCTTCTGTGTGTGAATGGAGTCATTGTTGGGATGCCACGGAGGAAAACTCCGTGTTGCCTAGACCACGGCCTTGCCCAACACAAGTTATAAATTCGGGCACCGCCGGGAATCGAACCCGAGACCCCAGGATTACAAGGCCAGCGTTCTAACCGCTAGACCACCGTGGCTTCTTCTCAGACACTAACAGTTGATAATGCACGCATATCACTTTGACGAAAAACCTGTTAAAACAGTAATCTATTTATCAGAAAACGGAGGTTAAGCAAGAGAGTGGCTGTCCCCAGCAAGATGGCAGGTGCATGTGCACCGAAGTATTTCTTTCTTTGAGTGATTTGAGAGAGAAGAACTTGCTATGTGACGCAGTGTTGAGTTTGGAAGACGGTGGCACTTTTTCTGTGCACAGAGTGATTCTGTCGTACCACAGCACATATTTCAGGTTCGTTTATTTACTGATATGGTTGTTTCAGCGTAAAAGTAGGACTTAATAGGACTTCAGGACATGACAGACGTCAATTAATCTGTGGCTCGAGAAATTCTTTGAAAAGTCGATTGTTACTCGGTTTGTCAAAGAATAACCCCCTTTCTTTATGGAACACGGAGGACTTCACCTTGTACCCAGAAGCCCGCCACTGGACTATATCCTTAGCTATCAGCTTCCAGTTCCCTTCATCGATACCTGTCTCCCTAAGGTCAATATTAATGTTATCATCCCACTTAATCGTGATCGGCGTAAATTGAAACTCTTTTATAATGAAAATCAAATGGGAAGTTAATGACATGCGTTCCCAGCACCAAAACATTGACGAGTAATATAATGGCATTACATTTACAATCGGCAATTCGCTAGTCCTCGAGATTCTTTCATGTGACTGATGTGTACAGTCATCTCTGCTGTTATGCGATAGTTGCATTCATGTAAGACGCCGACCTATAGAAAATCGTGTAGTAAAAATAACCCCGGTACCTCCGCAGAGATTAAATTAGTCCTTTGAAAGTTTTAAAGCACCGGGAATGAAATTGCATAAGTGGCTATACGTTGTTATTTGTTCATTGTGGTGAGATATCAGGTTCTCACGGCGATGAGTATATAGATTTCTCTCTTCTGGGTTGTTGCATCCCGTGGTGTCGTAGAAGTTCACTGCCGTTTTAGATGTACTTATGCCGTTATTCCCTGATTATGGGGGCAGTTGTCAAAATGTACAAACGCTTACGTATATCGTACATTGTTCGTCGGGAAATGGATGTTGACAGAGTACATACTGATATATGTATTTTCTGCAAATCATCCGTTATAAAGATGGCTGTCTTCTGGGTTGTAGCGCCGTGTAGTCTGACAGCCTTCTTCGTACATCCACATTGACATTTTTTAATTGTTCATAGTAAGACCTCTTACCATTCTCTGGAGGCAAGTTTTTCACATTTTTACAATTTATAAAAAAAACATGAAATTCTGTGAACGTACAAATATTTGCAAGGGTCAGACTGAAACAAACTTACATGATATTATTTAATTATATTTTCAGTAGTGAGACATGCTGATAATTTTTCTGGTATAAAATTAAAAGTAGAGAAGTCATGTCTTGTCACCAAAATCCAGAAGAGAATCGTAATATAGGTAGCATATAAATCCTTGGAAAATGTGGTATATTACAAAAGAACATGGACAGATCAAAATCAAATTCAAAAAAAGAAATTAAAGGTGGGTTACATATGGAATTTTTGTGTTCATGTGTATTCAAATATATGAAAACTGAAATATGCTAACTGTTATTTTAGTGTAGTCTCTTACTTTTTGGAAAATGACACAAAGAACTTGAGGCAAAAACAGTAACAGGCTAAAGGTCCCATAATGACGAGCTTCATAATTTGTACTCCTTCTAAAATATTATTACGGTGATGAAATAAAGGATTATGAAATGGATGAGACATTTAAAGGCATGGAAGAACGCGTACACACGGGATTTTGATCAGAGAACCTGACAGGAAGAGACCACCTGTGAGATGACTTGGCCACTTCTACATTTTGAAATAACATAAAATAAATCATACATAAGCTACCAATTTTTTAAAAAAATTTTGGCCACAGTTTTCCACGTGTCATACATGAGTATTTGAGAGTATTTGTACAGGATTCAAAGCATCCCTTCTTCTTTTCGCAGTCAAGTAAACACGATATTTAGTGATACGTCTAATATGAATATTAAATGCTTATCCAAACACTGCTCCTTCTAATGCAGCGTCCAAATTATGGTGGATAATGAACATTTTATGACGAAATTTGCAGGCTAACAGAATTCAACGCTACATTAGTTAAAAGTAACACTCAGAGATATATATCATATCTAGTCTTGATTCTATCAAACTCTCCTGAAGCTCTACTTTCAGTAGGAGTAAGTAATTCATAATTTCATAATTTCATCACCATCTTCCTATAATCTAACATCTAACATCAAAAAACTACGCGTGCCCTCAGTAAATCACAGAAAGCTTAATCACAAAGATGACCAAGGTATCACCAACACCAATACAAGTATTGGTTTTCCTACGTTAGTGCACAGCGAAGAAATTTTGGTTCCTACGTGACGATCTATTAAAGGACTACGCTATCTTGCCATGTGAGTTATAGTCACATTCTTTGTACATGCTGCAGACACGACAGTCTACCCTAAACCCAAGGTTAAAATCCCGAGAAATGAGGCGTAGTAGTAGTAGTAATTCTTATTATCGACTGAACAGAGCTACCGAAGCTGAAATAGTTCCGCCCAACCAGAAGATGGTAGCACAGTCAAGGTATGTTTCCCTTTTGCAGAACTTCTGTGGATCAGGTTTGTCATAGAGGTTATCAGTTACAGGTGATTTATGGTCTGTGATTTGTCGTGTGTAGCCCATCTTCTGTCTTGCTGTGGTAGGCGGTTGCATTTAATACATTAAAATAGTACGAATACTGAATAGGACTGTTGTTTCGTTTTGTTTGTTTTATACAATGGACGGAGAATTTAATAACGATTCAGAAAATATAATTCCTTCACCTGATTTGCTCTTTGTAGCAGAATTTATTTCCTACTCAGCTTGTTTTGATTGTTCTTTGCCCTCTGAATTGATAGCAGCAATGAACTGTCAGTAATCAAGAGGTGGAAATATTAGTCTGTAGCCAATCACTACTTGACATGCTGATGTGTACAGGATATGAACACCTACTTGTGTAGTGGGTTATTCTTAAACATATAAAATATAAATAGAAAGCTATTTTAGTACTAAACACTGTACTATGAGGGTATGTAAAGGACTTGAAAATAAAACTCCACTCATCCTTAATCTCAGCATTAGCCGCTTTCACTGTCTTTGTGAAAAACTTGATGTCAGGGCATGAATCCACAAAGAACAGTGATAGAAGTTCACATTGGTCTGAATGATATATTCTGCAAGACCATATTTTTCCATTGATTAACCTTTGTTGACTGTGTGTCACAGTTTATGTGAAGTCCAGCTGATTGTGCACTTCAGTGCAGTAGCGTACTACTAAACTATTGACCCTAGAGTTTATAAAGTCCAGCTGGCAGCCTTGTACTGTGGACATTTAAATCCCCTATTCCTGGTTGGTAAAGGTTAATATTTCATATGAACTTAATAAATTTGTCATATAGTCTTCCTGTAAATATAGGTTTCCTGTTCCTTATTTGGTTGGCAATCTTTTTATGACTTTGTAAGGGGCCTATTAAAGACTTAGAGGTAATGGATGAATTTCTGGTAGTTAAATTTGAAGTAGTAAGAATGGAAAAGACTCGCTTGGAATGAAACTAGGAGTTAATAAGAAAATGTAGGTGTAATACCACACCATGAACAGTATATACTCAGACCCATATTTCTTCTTCATTGGTGTAAGGTATTCCATCATTTAAGATTGTATTTCATATGTCCCAGCTAAATAATTTCATTAATAAATTTACTCTTATGGGTGTTCAAAACTACAATTGCCCTGATGGCCTTGGATAAGGATTTCATTAATAACTATCTTTGTAACTGGACATTGCCCTCGAAAATAAATTAATAACTTTGTTACTAACTTCATGCTATGGGGTCTTATGAGCATTGTCTGTTACTTCTCTTTTTTTTATGAACTGTGTGTTCATAAACATACTCGTAGCATGTGACATTTATAACAAGGAAGTAGTATGTATTTGTGAAAATGTTTCCTGTGATGGAAAAGACAAAAAGTTCTAACTCAGTGTGTCAATTTCTCTTAAAATGTTTTAGTCTGTATGACGAGACTAGCAACAATTGTGAATTAATAATTATATAGTTTACTGATCCATTTCTGTTCATCTTTTTGATTAGTACATGTTCTAACCACAGGTATTGTCAGATAAAGCCTCTAAGTTTCACATGTGTGCAGTGTTTGTAATTATGTGCATACAAAAATATTTTCATAGAGAATTTGTAGGTTAGTTTTTTAATTTTGTACTAACTGGGTATCAAGGGTTTGAATTACATTTGGGACTTAGCTTTCTATCCTCACATTTACTTCCATAATGCCTCTGAGGGCCATCTAGACTTCTAACCAATGAATTATGATGCTTTTTCTATATGGCAATATGACCAGTGCATGAAGTCGATCACTCGTCTCTTTTAAGTTATATGATTAAGATTGCATGAAGCTTTGTACTCCCATATGCTTTGTGTTATGATATTTAGGCATAGGAATAAGTTCACCTGTACTTTGCCATGAATCAGATGCTTCTGCATTTCATCCAGGAGGTCCCAGTTTTAAATCTTGGCCCAGAGGTCTGACTGAATAGGTTATGGTTTTCCTCAGTCTTGCTGATCAAGTAGTGCCTTAAATTCGTCTCCCACATCCTCTTCATCTCTTTATTCTTAATCATCCTCTCACTGTTTGCTATGTAATTTGAGCTGTTCACAGCATCGTTAAATAAACTACAAATTTAATGATGCTGAGACTGTAAAGATTGCAGTTTTTAAAGTAGTCTAAATACAAATAACTTATACTTTATTGTATGTTATTTGCAGGGTATTTTTTGAGCGCAAGTTAGAATTCACACCTGACAATGCAAACACAGTGAACAGTATTGTATATATACGTAATATCAGCTGTGGCATCACCTCTCCTTGGTCTTCTGGTGGATAAAGTTGGCAAGAATATACTCTTGAGTATGATTTTCAGTTCTGGTGTCCATTGGCTGCCATGCACTTCTTGCCTTCACTTTCATCAATCCATATATTGCAATGGTAAGAATAATATCTTTATTATTGTTATTGACTTAGCAATAAAACTGGAATTTTGCAGTATTTTTAAATCTAGGAGTAGAGTTCATTACAGAGATTTCAATTCAGAAATTTCATATTGACATGGTTTATATTTATTTCACATTAAGGATTATTTGAACATGATAGGTACAATATCCATGTAGATGGAACATTTACTTCTACGTTCCAGTGGATAGGAAAACTTTATATGTTCCGATTGATGTATACGTGGGTATCCTCATATGCGACCCAATGTTCATGTGTTGCCACAAGTTGTAGCTCAAAGGCCATTGATCCCAGGTCAAAGGTTGGCTGCTTTTTCAATGTCCCTTCAGGGTTAGTTGTGCAGGAGGGATTATTGATTTGGAATAATCAAATTTAGACTGTTGTGTTATCTAGTGTACCTATTGCAACAAAGTAACGATTAACAAATAAGTGGCATTTTCATCATCTGGAATCCAGATGAATATATAGTCTTCTTAAAGCGTGCTAAGTATAAGTAAAGCTGTCCCACCATACGCCATGTAGGCGCTTGGGGGAAGCGGAGGTATAGCTCCTCCCTTTCTTGACCTCAGCACTAGATGGGGGTGAGTGGTCAGCATCACGCCCTGGCCATGCTTTACCTACAGGAAAGGACCCTGGTACCCATTGGATAGGAGGCTAGGTGGGCCCCAGAACTGGACTGGGCATGCTAGAGGAAAAATCATCTGTCCCAGTCGGCGATTGACCCCTCGTCGATGCTATACAATTTATTACCATACGTTTTGTTTTGTTTGTAGTGTATCTTGGGTGTGGCATATTCAATGCTTGCTAGAGCTCCGTGGCCAATGGTTGCTCTCGTAATTCCTGAATATCAACTGGGGACAGCATATGGCACGTAAATAGTATGCAGAAGTTGTGGTTTATAGATAATTTCTGGTACTAAAAGACATCTAATTCATTTAATAATTCCAAGTTGAGTTTTAATGCCCCCCCCCCCCTTCACCCCCTCCTTCATAGAATGAAACTTTATTCATTATGTTTCCTTCCCTGTCACTCTGTACTCTTCTACGTGCCTGTGTGTCACCCTGTTTTTAACCTTATTTTCCCGCCAGAGTGCACCCTGGTCCTCTCCAGTTTTCCTGTGTTGTCGGGGGGCTCGTGAGGGGATTCTCTGCTCGGTGATCAGACATGCAGTGTCTGCTCCATTTTCGGACCAAAATTGCTTTGGGGAGGCGGTTTTTAAAACGGCAGAGAACCGACATGGGTTCCTGGGATGCTTTGTGATTTAGAGGCTTATTGGTGTGCTGTTTGTGTTAATAATTAATAATAAAAAAAGGTTGTGGGCCAGTGTGTTTCAGGATAAAGTGTGTTTGAATTAATTGGCTTCAAGATGAAGAAATTCAAATGGTGTGTGAAGGGTTAATATCTTAACACTTTTTGGAACTGAAATTAAAACTAAAGGCTTCATATATATTAATGTTTTCTGGCATATGATAGACTCTAATTATAGTTTATCCGCACAAAATGAATTTAATTTGTTCATGAAAGCCTTCATTATGTGAAATTGGGGAAATACTGGACGAAGGCCTAATTTGTTCTAAGACTACATAGTAAGTTAACCTTAAAAAATGTGGTAATTTTTGACAATTAAACATTATAAGAACATGGTAAATTGTTACAATTAACAAACATAGTAAAGAATCGGTAAGTAAAGCAGACAAATATTACAGTAGAACAATGCTTACCTTAGCTTAACACAGTAAGTAATGGAAATTGAGCACCAAACAATCATAAATGGATGTTTTTGATTGGCTGAATCTTGCTGAGTTCACTTAGAAGTGTTCTGTTTGGCTGATATTGACAACCACTTGACTTTGTAAGCAGTATCAATTTTAGACGCTTGTTATAATAAATGTCGGTAAGCATGTTTAGGCAATAACACTTGCTGTCTGTGAACACCACTTCAATAAGAAAATGTCTTAAGCGAGTGTGACTATAATTGATTCCACACATTTATTATATATTAATAAAGCAGTTTAATCCCCTTTTCATAGTTCCATTTTAACTCATCTTCCAGGTGAAGCCTTATGATACTGAACTAGCAGTGCAAGATTTGTTTTGGTGCCACTTACAATTTCTTATTCATGTGTGAAAATGTTTATCAGAATGATGTTAGTATTGTTTGCATCATTTAACTTGGCATCTGGCTGAAGGGTGGGAAGGAGGCTAGCATGACATGCTATGTGCTTGCTGTGCTTTGTGCGGGCATCAGAGTGACACTTATGTGTCGTACGCGTAGTGTTTGAGGTTTGCACATGCAACATTTGAGGAAACATCACCATGTAGAATGTTGACTGGCTAATACCTGCATTAGTCCTGCGCCGTAGCCGCGCGGTCTGAGGCATCATGCTTCGGACCGGCGATATGGTTGGATGATCGTTCACCTCTGCTTAAGCATTTGAACTAATAATAAACAAGCAAATTGAGTGGTTGGCATTTGAAAACACAATTTTCCATAGTCATCTCGTAATTATATTGGTACGCCCCAAATATAGTCGATTTGTTCATAATCTGTTGTCATATCATGTTTTATTTCCCAATCTGTGCTGAGTAACCTCAAGCCATTATATGTAATATTTTCATTTGAAATGTTGACACTCTAAGTGCTACGCTACAAAACAGCTCATTAGACCATCAAGTGTATGTAGTAATGTTATAATTATCACATCATATTGCCAATTTTTAGTGGGAAAATGATTTGCCTCTTGGAAAGTAACAGCAGCAGAGATATGAGGATATATTAAAATGGAGCTTTAGGAAGTAGGTTTTTGTAATGTGTACAGATGTAACTGTATGAATCACATTCAGTGGTGATATTTTATGTTAGCGGTATTGGGTTTTAACAGGACAGAGGGAGAAAGGATTGAATGAGTTGGTTTTTTTGGGATATAATACCATATCTTCTGTATGTATGAGTAAAAAAGTTGTAATAGGACCTTGAAATTGTGTATTTAGATTTTATGGTGTAATTTTCTAGGTGTGTCTCAAATTTTCATTAATATTCATTATAGCAGTTTCATATAAGTATTTGAACTTCTTAGGAATTTGTTGTGGGATGCCACTGCCTGTGTTTGTAAGTATGAATGCTTTGCTGATTACCTTTAATATTTAAATATTTTATTCAAGGAAGTAAAACCACCCATCATTCTTAGTTGAGAGTCACAGTAATCAGATACCTGTGATTGCTTTTCCTCATTCAGAAAGTTTACAAATGGATGGACTATTTGGTGTGACTTTTCTTATAGTCACTTTGATGGTTGGGAGCTGGAAGGACTGCTGTGACATTTAAACAGATATTATACTCCTTAAATCTGATGTTGATAACTACTATTGCATTGTCAATGTATTGAATTAGCATTGTATGAAGTTCAAAGCAATATAGTGTTGTCCTTTTGAGATATTTTAATCGTGATTTGGTCAGCAGTAATTCTTATGTGTAGTTGTCATTGTCATCTACACAGGCTCTCTAATTTGATTTGTTGCAATCACAGAAATTTTACTCTTCAGATTATTGGACAGAACACTTTATGTGTTTTAGTGCCCATGATTGCAGATCCATTTATCTTTTATATTAAACCAAAAGTAGTCAAGTTTTGCCATAGCGGTTCTAGCATTTTGACAGTGGTCTCCGAATCTACATTTTTAATGAAGTTTTCTCTATTCCAGGGAATTGCTTATAGAAATTGTGAGTCGTTAATCTGTCGTTTGTATGCTTTAGACCTCCGCCTCACAATGTCATCAGCTTGCTTTGGACTACAAGTGGCATATCTTTTGATCATCAGCATGAAAAGTCTTCCAATTTTCAGATTTTTCATTCTTATGGCGGTGAAGATGTAGGTCTTCTGTGATGTAATTCTGTCTGTTAACATATAGGTAGATGCCAGTATTATGGAGGAATATCCAGATTATTTCTTCAGGAATTTCAGTCATGAAAACGTTTATATCATGCCATGTTATTTATTGCTGCTAAGGAATATTAATTTAGTTGTAAGACTTGAGGTTTTCACAGCGGTGAGTATGAAGATTTCTGTCTTCTGGGTTGTTGCGCTGTGTAGTCTGGTCAATGTTAACCAACGTCTCAGAGGTCATACTGCCTCCGTAATCAGGGCGATGACGGAGGCAGTATGACCTCTGAAACGTTGGTTAACATCGACCAGACTACACAGCGCAACAAACCAGAAGACAGAAATCTTCATATAATAAAAAAAGATTGTGGGCCAGTGTGTTTCAGCATAAAGTGTGTTTGAATTAATTGGCTTCAAGATGCAGAAATTCGAATGGTGTGTGAAGGGTTAATATCTTAACACTTTTTGGAACTGAAATTAAAACTAAAGGCTTCATGTATATTAATGTTTTCTGGCATATGATAGACTCTAATTATAGTTTATCCGCACAAAATGAATTTAATTTGTTCATGAAAGCCTTCATTATGTGAAATTGGGGAAATACTGGACGAAGGCCTAATTTGTTCTAAGACTACATAGTAAGTTAACCTTAAAAAATGTGGTAATTTTTGACAATTAAACATTATAAGAACTTGGTAAATTGTTACAATTAACAAACATAGTAAAGAATCGGTAAGTAAAGCAGACAAATATTACAGTAGAACAATGCTTACCTTAGCTTAACACAGTAAGTAATGGAAATTGAGCACGAAACAATCATAAATGGATGTTTTTGATTGGCTGAATCTTGCTGAGTTCACTTAGAAGTGTTTTGTTTGGCTGATATTGACAACCACTTGACTTTGTAAGCAGTATCAATTTTAGACGCTTGTTATAATAAATGTCGGTAAGCATGTTTAGGCAATAACACTTGCTGTCTGTGAACACCACTTCAATAAGAAAATGTCTTAAGCGAGTCTGACTATAATTGATTCCACACATTTATTATATATTAATAAAGCAGTTTAATCCCCTTTTCATAGTTCCATTTTAACTCATCTTCCAGGTGAAGCCTTATGATACTGAACTAGCAGTGCAAGATTTGTTTTGGTGCCACTTACAATTTCTTATTCATGTGTGAAAATGTTTATCAGAATGATGTTAGTATTGTTTGCATCATTTAACTTGGCATCTGGCTGAAGGGTGGGAAGGAGGCTAGCATGACATGCTATGTGCTTGCTGTGCTTCGTGCGGGCATCAGAGTGACACTTATGTGTCGTACGCGTAGTGTTTGAGGTTTGCACATGCAACATTTGAGGAAACATCACCATGTAGAATGTTGACTGGCTAATACCTGCATTAGTCCTGCGCCGTAGCCGCGCGGTCTGAGGCATCATGCTTCGGACCGGCGATATGGTTGGATGATCGTTCACCTCTGCTTAAGCATTTGAACTAATAATAAACAAGCAAATTGAGTGGTTGGCATTTGAAAACACAATTTTCCATAGTCATCTCGTAATTATATTGGTACGCCCCAAATATAGTCGATTTGTTCATAATCTGTTGTCATATCATGTTTTATTTCCCAATCTGTGCTGAGTAACCTCAAGCCATTATATGTAATATTTTCATTTGAAATGTTGACACTCTAAGTGCTACGCTACAAAACAGCTCATTAGACCATCAAGTGTATGTAGTAATGTTATAATTATCACATCATATTGCCAATTTTTAGTGGGAAAATGATTTGCCTCTTGGAAAGTAACAGCAGCAGAGATATGAGGATATATTAAAATGGAGCTTTAGGAAGTAGGTTTTTGTAATGTGTACAGATGTAACTGTATGAATCACATTCAGTGGTGATATTTTATGTTAGCGGTATTGGGTTTTAACAGGACAGAGGGAGAAAGGATTGAATGAGTTGGTTTTTTTGGGATATAATACCATATCTTCTGTATGTATGAGTAAAAAAGTTGTAATAGGACCTTGAAATTGTGTATTTAGATTTTATGGTGTAATTTTCTAGGTGTGTCTCAAATTTTCATTAATATTCATTATAGCAGTTTCATATAAGTATTTGAACTTCTTAGGAATTTGTTGTGGGATGCCACTGCCTGTGTTTGTAAGTATGAATGCTTTGCTGATTACCTTTAATATTTAAATATTTTATTCAAGGAAGTAAAACCACCCATCATTCTTAGTTGAGAGTCACAGTAATCAGATACCTGTGATTGCTAGCATTTCCTCATTCAGAAAGTTTACAAATGGATGGACTATTTGGTGTGACTTTTCTTATAGTCACTTTGATGGTTGGGAGCTGGAAGGACTGCTGTGACATTTAAACAGATATTATACTCCTTAAATCTGATGTTGATAACTACTATTGCATTGTCAATGTATTGAATTAGCATTGTATGAAGTTCAAAGCAATATAGTGTTGTCCTTTTGAGATATTTTAATCGTGATTTGGTCAGCAGTAATTCTTATGTGTAGTTGTCATTGTCATCTACACAGGCTCTCTAATTTGATTTGTTGCAATCACAGAAATTTTACTCTTCAGATTATTGGACAGAACACTTTATGTGTTTTAGTGCCCATGATTGCAGATCCATTTATCTTTTATATTAAACCAAAAGTAGTCAAGTTTTGCCATAGCGGTTCTAGCATTTTGACAGTGGTCTCCGAATCTACATTTTTAATGAAGTTTTCTCTATTCCAGGGAATTGCTTATAGAAATTGTGAGTCGTTAATCTGTCGTTTGTATGCTTTAGACCTCCGCCTCACAATGTCATCAGCTTGCTTTGGACTACAAGTGGCATATCTTTTGATCATCAGCATGAAAAGTCTTCCAATTTTCAGATTTTTCATTCTTATGGCGGTGAAGATGTAGGTCTTCTGTGATGTAATTCTGTCTGTTAACATATAGGTAGATGCCAGTATTATGGAGGAATATCCAGATTATTTCTTCAGGAATTTCAGTCATGAAAACGTTTATATCATGCCATGTTATTTATTGCTGCTAAGGAATATTAATTTAGTTGTAAGACTTGAGGTTTTCACAGCGGTGAGTATGAAGATTTCTGTCTTCTGGGTTGTTGCGCTGTGTAGTCTGGTCAATGTTAACCAACGTCTCAGAGGTCATACTGCCTCCGTAATCAGGGCGATGACGGAGGCAGTATGACCTCTGAAACGTTGGTTAACATCGACCAGACTACACAGCGCAACAAACCAGAAGACAGAAATCTTCATA